TATGAATAAATCTTGCAGAATCGCAAGAAGAAGTAGGCGGGATGGGGAGATTGGAGATGGAGGGTGGATGAAGGAGGAAGAAAAAGGCTGCTGCGAAGGGTGGAAGTGCAAGTTTTTCTGGACCAAAGTCTTGACGAAAAAACTTCTAGGGCACTGGACAAGGACCCGTCACGTAAGGTATGGGAAAGATGGATCCTGACCAAAGGGAGATGTCGATGGAGGATTGGTGGGTTCCGCCGTGCAGTGCAGTAGTGGATAGTGGATGTGGGATGCGGATCCTTTCTGTGTCGCCTCCAGGAAGAAAAAAAAAGTCTGTTCTTTTGTTGTAGGCGGAAGGCGCAACGCGTCCCTTGCTTGCAAGTGCCCCAGAAAAATATTTTTTCGGCTTCCCTTCACTGGGCAGTCGCTACAGCGAAGGCGGATGAGGGGACCACGGCAGACACGGGAACCTTGCTGTACCTGAAGTACCTGTCCCCCAGACTTGTAGGGGCGGTCTGGTACACGAAAAACTGGACCCCGACTGGCAACACTTGGCGGACTTGCATTCTTTCAGTGTTTGATAAGCCCAGATAAGCCCAGATAAGCACGATAAGCTCATAAATGGCCTTGCCAATCAGGCAGAAGGCCAGTTAAAATTGGCGTCACCTGCTTCACCGACTCCACCTTGCCAAAAGGGTTCTTGCAGTTGCATCACTGGCGGATTGCGCTTGGCAGAATTCATTCCCTGTGCTTTGAGTTGGCTTTGCGGTTGTTGGGCAACCCTCGCCGTTCACCTGTTACGGAATGGGAAAGGAGAATCTTTGTTTTCATCAACACCATCTAGCGGTCGCCTGTTTCCAGGGCATGTCTTTCTAAGATGCAAACATGATTTTAGGTATTCTGTCGCCATCCATACCCCAACTGACGATATTATGAGAGCAGCCACTCCCCGTCACTTCCGCGACCGGCAAGGATGTACACAAAGAGTGGCAACAACCCATCACCACTGTCGCCAGTCAGTCACCACCGCCCAGTCCACCACCACCATCACAATTTCTCAACAAACAGAAGCCACCACCTCCATGTCATGAAACATTTCTCAATCACTACCCACGACACACAGTCTCCCCGAGTCCAAGCCATCCCCTGCCTCAGCCTCTTGGCTTCCATTTATCTCCACCTACACCAACAATACCAATCTCTTTGACAGTTACCATGAACTCACTCACATCGGAAAAACCACCATCTCCTCCCTCGTCCAAAACCTCCTCATGTTTTCCGCTCCCAGCTCCTCCACCTCCTGATCTAAATGCTTCAGCAACACCTCGCCCCACGAATCCATCTTCTTTTTGAGCACCGGCAGGCTAAACGCCTCCTTCTTGCTCCTGCAATCCCTCAGGTACTTCTCGAACTGCTCCATGCCCAAGTGAATGGCGCGATGTTGCTGGATTAGTTCACAGTTTGTTTTTACCTGTGAGAGCTTACGAGGGAGCCTTTTCGTATCCGACAAAAAGACATAAAATCCATAAATCATGCATGTTTTTCTTCTTCTTCTTCTTCTTCTTCTTCTTCTTCTTCTTCTTCTTCCTCCTCGTCTTCGTGATGATCCTTATGGTCTTCCTCTCCCGTTTCGCTTTGACGATTGAGGTGACGATGAAGACGAGCGTGTTCGTGATAACTATGGGCGTTAACAGCCGCTCGGAATTGAGGCATCTTCTTTGCTAGAAGGGGGAATATGTATGTCTCTTCGATGGAGTGGTGAGCTTCCAGGTAGCGAGTGAGCCGGAGCCCTTCTTCGATTAGTTGCCGCTCGGTCAGTGCTGTTGTTGTGCCTTGACTGCTACTGCCATTACGGGTACAAGCTGTGTAGAGCGTGTTCCACATCGAGCGAAAGTGATTGTGCTGGTCGCTTCGGTCAGTATCGAGTTGACCTTGAAGAAAAGGGGAGCACAAACAAAGTAGTCCATCTTCTCGGCCAGTCGGTTATACACTGCAAAGTCTTCTGGTGAGAGCGGTGGCAGCACCGGATCGGCTACGGTACCGGCATTGGACACTACATCCGAATTGACATTGCCAACTCCGGCTCCGGCTCCAGTCGTTTGGTCTTGCATCACGCTGGCAGACGTGCTCGATACAATGTTTGGGTTGAGGTTCGTGTTGTTGTGACACCGCAACAAGATGTTGCTGTCTATGTCTGAGCCTAATGAACGCTTACAGGAGAAATGGCTGACAAATCCTTACAAACATTTGTTCACGCGATTGGTGAAATAGGTAAGGATGGCCCAGTCAAAAGTAATGCTTGCTTTTTGAGCTACAAACATTGGTATCATGAAAGCAACGAAAACTGGACGTGATAAAACCCCCGTCCTCCCTCAAGGTCTAGTAAACTCCCAGACACCATTGGTATCCTCCATGAACTCCCCAGGACCACCATCTTAAATCATGGAACACATCCGTTGTTGGGCTGAAAACCTCCCAATCCGTCTTGATAGGCTCAGAAGATCAAAACCTCTCCTATATCTCTAGCTGCAAATGTCAACATCATCCTTGTAGTACCCGGAAGACCGTCACTGATACTCCGGACGAACCGTCCAAATGCCCCGCATGCTCGACCCCTTCTTCTCCAACTTGGCCACTTTCTCCAAAGCAACCTTGAACATATCCGCCTGTCTCGCTCCCGTGCAATAGTGGTTAAAGTGATCAACGAGCGATTTGGATGGGACTTTGCCGCCATGCCGTTTAATGAACGCCGGAATCATCCTTTCAAAGTCCTCCGCCCTCAGGTTCCTATTATCTGACGGCGTTGCCGGTCTCTGCGCTCTCGACGGGGCTGCACCGCTTGCTGCACCGCGAACACCTGCTGAGGTGGGACCTCCGCGTTCGCGACGGAGCGCCGGACGACCAGCTTCGCCGTACTCGCCCGTCCAGGTGACCGTGCCGATGGGCACGTTTCTGGCTTCCTCACCTGCACGACGGAGAGCCAAGGCCGCTTGAGCAGCAACTCTGTCTGCTTCCGCCTGGAGAATTCGGCGATCCGCTTTAACCTTTGGCTTTCTACCGTTCATGATTTCGTCGTGCTCAAGGGCGCTGTGAACTGAACGTGCAAAGATACCCTCCATCAGGCGGTCTTCTTCATTCGGTGCAGGAGCTGGTCCATCGTCCTTGAATGTCTCCAGCCCTGCGACTCCTTCAATGTGACGGAGGCCGCCTGTCTCGTCCTCGCTTGTGGCTTCGTCCTTGATTTCTACGGGTTTGGTTACTCCAGGGGCCCTGAGAGCTGGCACGTCGTTACCGGGCAACACTATCTCTTTGGGTCCTGAAGGCAGGCGTCTGACTTCACTGCCCTTGAACAGCTCTGCTGTCTCGGTCTTCCCGTCCTCGTATGAGCTGAGACTGAATAGGTCATGGAGGTCGTTTAGATTAAAAGAGGTCTGCTGCTTTGGATCCTTCAATACCTTGTTGGACAGGAACTGCTTGAAGATCTGGCGGTGATAGATCTTCTCTTCAATGGTTCCAGCTGTCATAAGCCGGTATATAGTGACTTCCTTCTTCTGTCCCAACCGCCAGGCACGTTCTCTGGCCTGGACATCTGTTGATGGGTTCCAGTCGGGGTCGAAGATGATGACCCGGTTAGCTCCTGTCAGATTAGTGCCGAGACCGCCCACTTTGGTGGTTAGAAGGAAGATATGTAAGTCCGGATTATTGTTGAACTGGTCAACAAGCGTCTGTCGGTCTTTGACGGGCGTCTTGCCATCCATACGCAGGTAGTTGATACCATCCTGACGCCTTACAAACGCCTCGATAATGTCCAGCATTTGCGTGCCCTGGCAAAACAGCAACGTTTTATGGCCAAGACGCTTCCACATCGGGAGTAATGACTTGACGACTGCCATTTTCCCTGACTTGTTGGTACTGCCCCATTGGTATGAAGGATCATCTTTGAGCCGCGGATCGAGCAGATCCGGATGATTACAGATTTTACGCAAGATATCGATACCGTAGAGGGATTGGCGAGTCCTGTTGAGAATGGCAGTCATGTCATCCGACTTGAGGAAGAGTTCGTAAGCCTCCCGCTGGGGCTTGGACAGCTTGCAAAATAGGACCTGTTCGCTTTTCTTGGGTAGATCAGCGGCCACGTCTACTTTCAGCCGCTGAAGTAGGTAAGGGCTGATGGTCTCTTTCAACGTCTCTGCACATTTCTGAGCAGTCATGATCTGAAGGTTGGTTGCGTTGGCATAACCGCCGAGTTTGATTGGGATCTCAAACTGATTTCGGAAGGCGACCAAAGTACCGAGCCGCATGGGGTAGATGAAATCAAAGAGTGACCATAGCTCTGTCAAGTTGTTCTGCATCGGCGTGCCGGAAAGAATCACGCGGTTAGGTGTCCGAAGTTCCTTGCAGTAAATGGTGATTGCTGTGTTTGGGTTTCGGATTTTATGTCCTTCATCCAGTACGGCATAGCCCCAGTCAACCGGGATCAAGACATCGCCGTACGTCTGCAAGCCGGCATAAGTTGTGACCAGCACATGACCATGCTTGACAACGCGTTCGACGATCCTCTTTGCAGCCTGGCTGGACTTTTTCGGCTTTCTCTTGCCGTAGTCATCCTCTCTGTCGTCAAGCTCCCCTTCGTTGCGGACATTGAGCATGCCACTGCCAGAGGAGTGGAGGATAGATACTCGAAGTGGTGGCCACCAGCGGTGAAATTCGTTTACCCATTGACGCAAGACTGTTGCCGGGGCTACAACAATGACGGGCTTGTCAAGCTTTCGACTGTAGTGTAACGCAGCCACGAACGAAATCAGTTGCACTAAATATCGTCAGCAAAGTAATATGGATTGCGCGGAGGTCATCGCAATGAGCATACCAGTTTTGCCCAGCCCCATCTCGTCTCCAACTATACCTCCAACTTGCTGAGCGTATAGCTCTGCTAGCCACTGTACGCCGGTCTTCTGGTAGTCAAAAAGAGATGGGTAAATATCGCCTGGCAGCTTGAGACCATTCTCAAACTGGTGGTCAGGCTGGTCCGGTGATGGCTTGAACCATTCTTCCACCCTGTCATCCTTGTCAACTGGCTGGCCGATTCTCTGCTGACGAGCCCGTCGTGCATTGCTCCTGCGCGCTACCCAGTCTTTTAGTCTTGCTTGATAGACTTTTTCGTTACCATCATCGATACCGCTCAGGTCAACCTTGTCATCACCATCAGCCTCTCTAGCTGCCTTCTTCCGCTTCTTGGGTGTGGTGTCTGTCATGTCATAATCGTCGTAATCGTCGAAGGCATCGGCCTCGGGAGATACCGCTTCGGAACCAGACTCTCCCGGCACAAACTCGTCTTCTGATTCGGGCGGCGGTTGGACCCTACGCCTCTTTCGGGGACGCAGGGAAAATTCGTCTGCAGCAGCTACAGTAGCGACCTCATTTTCTTCGGCAAAGCCAGGGAGACGCAGATTCTGATGAGATCGAGGGCCGTCATCTTCCTTTTCTTCCAGTTCTTCGGCGACAGCCTCGTCTTCCGCATCGACAATGGCGTTGGCGAGATCACCCTCAACTTCGGCAGGTCTGGGTCCACCGAATTTGGCAAACGGCGTGATCTTTCCCGTTCGGATGAGATATTCTCGCTGGGTCTCGTTAGGGAGTCTTTTGCCGGTGGCCGGGGCCAGGGTATCGGTCTCGCCCTGCTGGTTGCGCTGTTCGATGCGAGCACGGAAATCGGCAATGTCTTTGTCGCAAAGTTCGATTTCGGCATCGATTCGTGCTATCTCTCGTTGTATGCGTAGTCGTGCGGTTGGGTTCGTGATGCCCGGTCGTAGTTTCTGTTGCTGTGTTTTCTTCTGATTGTCGAGTCTCGCACGAGTAGCCTCAGCCTTGTCGATGCGCTTCTGATCTCTCTTGTCTTCGGCTTCGATCAAAGCTCGACTAGCTTGTAGGGTAATATCACGTTCCAGATCGTCTTGGTCTCGAACGTTTTTGGTAAGATTCTTGAGCGCAGCCTCTTCGTCAAGCCCGTCAGTTTCGAGCGCACTCGGCGTGTTAACTGTCGAGTTTCCATTGTCGAGTGACATTGCTTCTGGCTGTTCGACATCGGGCTTTGTCTCGGGCGAGGTTTGGGTTGGTCCCGAGTTTTGAGTTGTATCAGGTTCCATTGTGGAAGAGAAATTGCAATGTCATCGACTAGAGCAAGCAGAACGGAGGAAGGATTGGTAAACAGGTTCAACGCTTGTGATTGCTGACTGTCTAAGATCTCAGGGTTGGCTGAAAACTTGTGAGGTTTAAGTGACAAAGAAGTGTGGAAAGATGGAAGTGTGGTCAAAGTTGACAACAGGCGGGATGATTAGGTGAGCTCTTTCTGGTGCAGTGTAAGTGGTACAAATTCAGGCGGGAACAACGAGTGGCACTGGGGAAGCGATGGGTCGTAGCGGAGCCTTCTGAACTGAGGCAAACGATGGATTGTTGCGATGAAAAGTCAGAAGTCGCAGTTTACAGATCGAGGCTGCTGTTGCCTGTTCTGTAGTTATTGCGCTGCGATAGGCTTCACTTTGTCGCAAGTAAGCAGGCGCAAATGGTCAACCCTGGCCCCGATGACGCATTGCATGTTCAGGGTTTCGCGGAAGTGCTGGAGATCCTCTGCTTTTGGCGGCGTGCCGACACGTCGTCATGTGATCTGCGTAAAATGCATAACCTGCGACAGCTGACTAAGCATCCCGATATCGCGACTGCGCGCATTGTATCCATCCATGTTCAAGTCAACAAAACATATCGTGAACTCAGGGACTTATAGTACTTGCTGTATTCTTACTCAAGCTCACTGAAGGTAGGTACATAGATGTAGCAAATACTTCCGCTTTCATTCTTTGCATCTGCCCTACTTCGATTGCTCATTCCAACCCCCGTTCTTTTTTCCCCATGATTTCATCTGAGTCCCATTTCATCGTCCCTTTCTTCTGCTCCTGATCTTTGGTTCCACTTCTTCTCTACCACGAGAATCCCTTAACCCACGTCTTCCCTCGCTCTAACCAGTTGCTTTAGCTGGTATGGCTCGGTTTTTCAGAAACATGTCGACGACAACACGCCTACTTTCACAATCAGTTCCCAAGAACGGCGTGATAATGCCGCCATGGCTTCACGACATCACTCAAAGCACTTCAGCTGCGCCCAAGCTGTATGCTTGGACTCCCGAAAACCTGCCAAACTGTTCAGCTGATGGAGAGTCCCAGTCAGCTACGCCAAAGGACCTCCAAAAACGCATCTTCATTCTTGGCATTGGAAACCTCGGCAGATTCTATGCCAACTCCCTGGCAAAACTAGGTCAAGAAGTCCCAGTGACACTCGTCCTGCACCGGAAGAGCTTGCTAGAACACTGGGTCTCCGAGCCTGGTATTGAGTTGACGCGTTACGACGTAACCGAAAGGATCTCTTCCTTCAACGTGGAGTGGTGGACAGAACAAGCGCCAGCACATGGACCTGTAAGGGAGGTCTGTGACGGGGCCAAGATCGCCAACCTGTTGGTCGCTACCAAGGCTCCAGATGCTCTGCCCCAGGTAGATAGACTACGGCGCTATCTCGATGGGAACTCAACTGTGGGATTTGTTCAGAACGGTATGAACAAGCTGTGGCCGCCCTACGGCGCTATATACAGCGAGCATCGCTTCCCGCCTAGACAACATCCAAATTGGCTGGTTTGTGTGACAACTCACGGCGTATACTCTCTGGGTGCATTCAAGAGTGTCCATGCGGCCCCTGCGGATATCGCCATGGGGTTGGTGTTGCCGAATCCGGACACAGCTGGCGCAGCGGACTACCTCACGGAGCAAATCTTGAAGGCACCTGAGCTGGAAGCCCGTAAAGTCCCACGGAACGCACTCTGGGTGCTTCAACTGGAGAAACTAATTATCAACTCCCTTATCAACCCCTTGACAGCCGTCATCCGTTGCATGAACGGTCACCTTTTCGACCAGCCAGCACCCGGATTGAAGAAGCTTATGGACATGTTGGTTGACGAGGCCAGTCAAATACTCCAGGCGTTGGCTCAGCACTCGAGCAGCCAGGATATTCTCACTGGTGTCGACTCGGCTCCCGATGCTGACTTGAGCAAGGAAGCCCTTGTAGAGCGTTTCTCGGCTGCGCAGCTGAACGCAATGCTGCAACGCGTTGGAGAAAAGGTGAAAGAGAACAGGAGCTCCATGTGTCAGGATGTTATGGCTGGGAAACAAACCGAAGTGCGCGAGTTCAACGGTTGGTTGGTACAGATGGCGGAATTCCTTGGCTTGGAAGCGCCCAACCATAAGAAGCTCTGCGAGCTAGTCGAAGCTGGTGTTGTCGGTGAACAAAACCTCCTAGAGGCTTACTTTGGCAAGAAGTAGATGCCTTGCGTCAAGGCGAAGGCCGTCCTGCGCCCAATTTACCACGACGTCAATGGAGTGCCAAGCAGCAACATCTGGCATCTGTATTCGAGCATGAACTACAACAGCCAGTTCGCAGCTCTCGGCAGCCAGAAGGACGGTACGCCGCCCTTACGCATTGACGGATACCGGTGCTTCCAGGAGCCGAAACATCACTCACCAAGCTGAGACGCTTGCTTCATCAAGCCGCACTGGTCCAATGGGCCGGTGTCTTTACAGAGAAAATCCTGCTCGGTGCAAAGGGCCTCCTTCCTGCCTATCCGCCGCTCCTCCATTGCTGAATCACTGCTTTTCCGTATCTGGCGCTACTCCGGGAGCCTTGCCTCGGATCCCTCGCAGTCTCAGGGCCTGTCACCACCCTCCTCCCACTCTACTCTCACAACCTCTTCACATGCGTGAGTCCCAGCGAGCGGGCATATAGCGTGGTGAGAAGTTGCGGAAAGCGGGGAGGAAGCGGGACCACCCACTTCCCAAGCATCCCACAGACTTTGGTCTGTCACACCTGCTTTCATGCCAACTTTCCGAATCCGCACGAATCCTGTAACCCTCGGGCGGCGCGGAGGCATCTCCTTGTCTCTTCCTCCATCGAATCGAATCCTTTTTCTCAGCTCATCCTATCCTTTCCTGGGGGGGAGGTCCGTGTGTCCGTCTGTACGTGCGTTCGGACTGGTGGGTGACTGGTTGATGGGTGGGTTGGTCGGCGGAGCCTTAAAGGAGGGCCAATATACCGTATTAGAATGGTTGATATAAGCCAGGTTTTGCGCGGTATAAAACATACCATTATTGCAGAACTGGACAGTGAGGTAGCGAGTAGCAAGTGCGGGACCATGATCCATCATCACACAGCCATCGCATTCCCGATTCCACTCCTCCTGTCCCTTCCGCCGTCCTCCAGCCTGGCTTGTCGCCCTCCTCTCCCTCGCTGATTTCTTGTGTTTGGATATGATGTGCTTTCCTCGCTCTCTTGTCCATGGTTCCCTCGTCCGGACTTTCCGTTATTCGTCCTTTCTTCTCCGCTTGATCGTGGTTGAGTGTCTTGATAAAGGCAGTCGTCGTCGGGTCGCGTGTGTCAGGGCAAGCCCGGAGGTCGTCGCGTCATCTCGTTCTTTTCCCTACTCGATCGTCCTCGGGCTAGTGGCCTAGGGTCTGCGTGTGTCGTGCATCTCTAGCGTGCTTTCTCGAGAAGTGGACGAAGAGAGCAATCTTGCCATGTGAGCCATGTAGGTCATTCTCCCAACGGTCGTTCCTCCCCGCGTCAATGGCTCTTCGTTCCTTCACCGGTAGTCACCCAGTGCCTGCCAAGCACCACACTACCGCACAGTCCGCCCCGTGCCTTCCTTCACGGAGGGCAAACACCATCAGACGAAATCCGAATCAACCTGCCCCGCCGCACCTGCCCTCATAAGCGTCCAATCCAGACCAAGTTGTAAGGATCTCCTAGAGACCAGATACCCGCCGGCACTGCCCGGGTAGCTCAACTGGTCCCATTGAGAGCCTCTTCAGTGTGCCGTACTTCGGTCCACGAAGAGGCCGCGAGTTCGACTTGGATCATGTCACGTTTTCTTTCGCGAAAGGCTGAGACTGTGGATGTCGACACATGGTCCGCTCGTTCCCGAGGAGAAAGTAAAGTAGTTTAGATCGTTGTGCCCAGTAAGGGAGCGGTGCCGAATTGTGTACCCTCTCACTGGTTTGTCCATGATGGTATGATTGAGTATTCTGCTGCTCCTATTTTGTTGTCTGCTGCTCCTATTTTGTTGTCATGTTTTTTTTTTTTTTTTTTTTTTTCCTTTTTTTTTTTTTTTTTTTTCTTTTTTGGTCAGCTTTGGTGACAGGAGGTAAAGGCGACAGGGGAACTGGTAAAAAGAAGTGACGTCCCTTTTCGCAAAATACTGAATACACCAAACTGATAGTGGTCTGCACAATCATCACCATCAAAAAGAGAGAGAAGGTGCGCAAAAACAAAGCATGAGAGCAAAGTAGGGAAGGACTTGTTGAAAAGGCGAGAGCCAATAACTCGTCTTGACCTGCACACTTAATCTCCGATCGGGTCCACTGTCCGTGTGAGGTTGCAGTGTTCGTTCTTTCCTTTACATATATGCAAGCCATTGAAGGAAAGCCTGGCGCAAAAAGCTCCGGATTGTCATTACTGCCTCTTTGGGGACCTGGAAGGAGCTGAGTCTCCTCCTGGGAGACAAGAAAGGAAAGACCGAGATTGTCTTTTGCGAATAGGAACTGGAAGGATTGGATGGAGATCTTCGACTACAGCCCAGCACATACGCGGGTACTGTTGACCGAGCCTCGTTCGGAGAATCCGTCCATTTTTGGGTGTCATTCGGCTACCGAGGGCAGAGTGACACTCAAGTCATTTCGGGCCGGATGGTCAATCCCGCAGTCGTCTTTCGCAAAGAGCGTCCCTTTCTAGACACTTTTACTTGATCCACTCTCTATCTTGGTGTCATTCAAGCCATGCATCTTGCAGGAGACGGCGTTGATCCCATGCGGACGGCAGAGAGTTCAGCTTGATTGGGATAGGTAAGGTAGGATAAGCTAACCTAAGCTCATCAATGATGGAATAGCTTTCGTACCAGCTCCTCAAGAGTCTTCGCTTACCACCATCTTTTATCATCACGCCATGGTTTCACTAAAAAGAGTCTCGAAAGAGGAGTCAGACAAACAGGCATACTACGGCCAGGAACCGCGGGATCGACGTGACACCCGGTAGGGCTTACTCGGCGAGAAACTTCACACAAGCGCCAGGCTTCCTTGTCTGAGATGTAACTGACAAGACACAAAGGCCTGGCCTAGATCTACTGCCCTGCCCTGTCTCGAGATGTCATCACTCACCCGCGGCTCACAACTACAGTGTGGCACATAGGAAGGATGGGCTTCGTCTCATTTCCGTTCCCGCATCACGGTCAGGACTACATGAAGTAGCTTCACATCCAGTAATGCTGCGCGACATGAAAGGAGATGGGATTGCCGAGCGGGCATACTACGCTACACTGCTTCTCTACAACATTGCAGCACGACAACACTACCCGTTTCGGGGCACACAAGCCGAGAGAAACGGGAAGAGGGAAGCGTTTCTCGCTTGCTTGTTCGCTTCAATCCCTGGCAAACGGTCAACGAGTCGACGAAATGGGCGAGACCAGTCACCAGGCCAGGCAGGTAGAGCGAGGTAGGTACGTAGGTAGGTAGGTGAGCAACCGTGATGTGGCATCGACGAGTACTACACCGCAGGACAGGCAGGGAACTATAACGTACCGTTTCACCGTTTATCTCCCCGCAAGATCCTGGCCCTTGTCCAAGTTTCCTTCGAGTGTCAAAAGACCCAACACCATGTACATTGCTTGTTTACTTCAGTCGCTGAGTGACATGTCCCTGGTGAGTAGTGAGTAAGTAGGTGTCTGTTGGACAAAGGCTACCATAGGAGGGAAACCGGCCTGAGCAAGAGACAGGGAAGGGTGATTTCACCATCTGGTCCGTTAACTTACCCACTGCAGTCTTGCGCCAACAGCAACGGATAGTAGACGATACGTCACCGTAGAAGAGTGAAGATTTCCCCGCGCCAACATGAAGATCAGACCGGGAGACGAAGGGCCTCTTCTCAATGACAGCCCTGCGCATGGACCAAGGGAAGAAAACCCAGTCATTGGACACTGGACTTGTTTCAGAAAGTGCCGTTAGTTTGAGAAATAGCCAAGTTAGTCTATGTAGGGCAATGGAGAGACGGGAAGTCTTGGACAAATTGCTCTTTGCATTTGTCGCATTCAATTTGGTTCTCGGTAGCTTCCGTCGTCATATGTCAAGACTGTCGTTGGTTGGTCTCTCTATGTATCCGCCTTTGCTTCTCTCTCCAACATTGGTTTCCCTGATCTCTGTTCTGGTTCCTACATGATGAGACGAGTTAGATTTTAAAATCTCATTAATCAGCAATTTATATATGTAGGTACCTCCCTTTGTACTCAGGTACCAAAGAGGTTTCTTTTGATGTACCGCGATGGGCACCTCACTGCTCACCGGTACACTACAGGTTTATCTGTCCTAGACCATAGACAAGGCAAGTGCTGATCACACGGCTGAGTGACCACCAAGGTGATGATTGTGAACGACCGACATCAAAAGTGGAGCAAGTCCGAGTTCAAGTGACCTTGTTGAACGGGGATTTTTGATGACGCTAACGTTAACTTTCCGAACAAAAAGAAAAGAGAGACATGACTGCATTGCAGTTGTGAAGCACGCGAGACACGTTCGGCTAGCCGCTAGACCAAACGACCGTTGAGGAACCTCACTCTGCATTGCAGCTAGGCGCAAAGAGACTCGTCTGGATCGTCTAGGCGCAGCGTCAAGGGAAAGCGAAGGGCCGATTTGGCGACCGCCGTTCGTTAGCCCCCCGAGAGTCCCTAGCTGGTCCCCAGCTTAAACTTACAGCGCTAGTTTAGTGCAAGTCTAGAGGTATCGTAGCGTGGTGTGGCGGGCGGTTTGTCTCGATCCGAAACCTCGCTCGCCGTGATTCCGAACGCCCCAACGCCCCAACGGTTAGGCAGTTGTCTTTCCAACAAATGAGATAAGGCGGAGGAGGGTGATACATAAGAAGGAGAAAAGCAATGACTGATAAAGGGTTGTTTCAAGCACCAGCCGGCAGGATGGGCCATGGCATGGCAAAGCAGGCAACGTCTCAAGAAAGATCCCAGTGTTGTGCCTGAAGCACAGTGTCCGGAGTGGGGGATCATGCAAGGTATCTCAGCAAGTATACGTCAAGCAGAAGGAGGTATATGAGAGAATCCGAAAAGGGAATTGGGCGATTTTGATTAACAGGCAAGTACCGAAACTGTCCGCAAGCTGAAAGGTTCCATCGATATGGTCACAACAGTATGGGGAAGCGGTAATGTCTTGGCAGTGAGGTACTCCTTCTGGTTCCTGTCTGATATCGATGGCAGCATACGAAGGATCTCCACTCGTATTTCAAATACTCGGTGAGAACAAATCAGGAAAATCTGTGTTTGACTCTGGTATCCAGCGTGTCGATCGGTCAGCCGTTGAAGAAGCTGAAGTCATAGCGCAAGCTTCAATAGAAGCGTGAGATAGGTGTCGTCAACCAGAGATTTTGGTGGAGGCGAATCAGAAAACCGATAATGACAACGGACAGGGACCACTTGCTTCTCGGCAAACACACAAAAAGACCCCATGTTCGTCCCAGTTGTTAGTGTCGCCTGGCGGCTGGAGAGAACCGAGCGAGATGAGATGGGACGAGGTATGGAGGAAACAAAACTTGTAAAACGGATCCTTTGAACTACCCGACTTACCTCGTGCAGACTGACCTATTGCTGGCACAAATACCCACGATAGGTATCAAAGCTATTGTCTTAACGAATATCTTGGTGATCCTGCATAGTTCAAGCAACGGCACGTTTCATCTTTACTAGAAAGGATCATCGTCAACTCACACCTTTCTTGCCTTGACGCGAACCCAGCACGTTGGTTTAAACCCCTTTCAGCACGCGGATCCGAGACCGTTTTAGACGACCCTGCCGAACCGAACCGAACAACCGAACGAAATAACAGCCAATCGAGCCGACAGACTGACCGACAAAACTGGCGGTCCCTTTCAAGTTCCTGAATCGATGCTAGCGTTGTACCTTGCTATGACCGTTGTCGATACGACCGATCATCGTCAACGGTCGAGGATGGAACATCGGACATGGGGCACGAGGCTTGGCTTCTGGGGACAGGGCATCGTCAATCTCCGTGCTCCCAGAGTTGCAACAATGGCGTCAACGGCACATGACAGCCATTCAGAGAGAGAGTAACGTACCAACACTAGGGCCACCCGTCCACGGGCGATGTAACGGCGCCTGTGCTTTGATCCAAGAATGAAATAAATATCAGACCATTTTTCACAATCGCGTTCCTGTTTTGCTGGGTAGGGGACCTCACTACCCAGAGACAGACCTGACAGGCTGACAAGGGAACCGGCTAAGATGAACACAATCTTGTGGTTCAAAACTACGGTCTAGTCATTTATCCAACGCCTCTGAAGACGCCTCTTCGCGGAATAGGAAGGTGCCAAAGTGACTGGTTCGGCAGCCAAGACATCAACCGCACAATGACCGCACAATACCAATTGTTGATTGGGATCCCATCTTCCCAGCGGACGGTCAGCTACGCACCATGAGAATAGCTTGCACTTGGCGCCCTCCTCATTCTCACCTTCACACTCAACGGCCCGCAGTATGATGCATCATTGTGTTACAGTTAGAGTATCTGTGGTCAGACGCAGCATGGTTCAGACAGCTCCCGATCCCAATCACACCGTGGAGTACATTGAGCTCGCTAAGGTGAAAGGACAAAACCGATAGGTCCGGCCTGGTTAAACATTAAACACAATGGTCTGAGACCAGAAAAACTAAGGTATATACACGAATTGCGAAAGGGGTAAAAAGCGGAGGTTCATAAAAACAAAAAGAGAGCAAAAATGAAAGTAGACGTAGTGAGTGTTGCATTGTGCTGGGTATCGCGAGATGTGACAGACAAAGGAAAGATATGTCGGAGTTCGATGATGATGTGTGTGTAATGGTGGTGTGTGTGTACGCTCTCTCCAAAGAAAGCTTTCCCCAACCCAACCAAAATCCCTGAGTGAACTGAAGTACCCAAACCAACTCCAAGGGACGAGCGGACTAGTGCTTTCTGGATCTGTTCCTGACAGGTCCCACCCAAGCAACTATCGACCCGCCCAGGTGTTCATCTCTGCTGTTCTGCAAGCCTTTCCTCCTATATCCTGCCCCCGCGCTGGCATCGAAGGGTATTTCCCATAGTCTCTTTCTCAGTATTTGATTGAGTCGATCACTGGTTCTCCTTGGGCTCCCTATCCATGTCCGGGTTGTAGGCTTCGCTTGAACCAACAGAGGTAGAAACCATCCACCAAGCCCTGTTCCACCACGACCGCTCGTCGGGGACCAATCTGAATTTTGTATATGTCGTCATCATCAACTTCGGTCGTGAAAGCCTGCATGGTAGCGAAGCGGCTGGGTATCGTTGTATAATGGCCATCCTTTTCCAAATCCCGATCCCACCAAGCCACCTTCTATGAAAAACACAAGCGCAAGACCCAGCACACCGCAATAGGAGATAAGGAAAAGTTATGAAAAGGTAACAAACTCGAATAGCAAAAATAGTGCTGATTGTGTATGGGGTATCTCGGTGTATAATGCCGCCTTCTCAAAGAATAATTCCTCCCCCGAATGGTGATGCAAACTGTGATTTAAGCCAACAAGAAACAAATATTAAGGGAATGTGTTGGAAGAAGAGTAGGGTAATAAGGGCAAATAAATAGGTCCAGGGAGCAAGGACGTCAAACAACTCTTGTTGACCCCCTTATCCCTGAGTGTCTCTGATGATTGGTAGCCGCGAAACAGGCTACCAATTTGGTCCCTCGCCCTCAACCGGCGGAGAGCTTTTCCCGGTTGGTAAATCGAAGTTCAGCTCGGCCGGGTTCGACTCAAATTCGCTCCGTCAAGTCGGTTGCGGTCGGACTTTGGCGCAATCGTTGACGTTACGCTTGAGGTATTGACGTAGTAGATCTCGTGCACCGTGGTGTGCTGCTCACTGAAGTTGTGAGGAATAGACGGTGTCCCCAGACACAGAAGCCGAAACTCCCGGTGGGGACATTGATTGCTATAAGTTCTCTCCCATCAATTGCGCCGCTCTTTCACGGCATGCGACTGGAGTGAATCCTGTCCCAACTTTGTTGGCAACAATCCTCCATTTCTCATTTTCGTAGTCTTGCAGCGCCGTCTTCAGCTTTTGGTCCTACATGAAAGAAATAGTCAGAGAGCGAGTTCCGTGATGAGCATAGTCATTGATCTGGCGGAAAACATGGGTGGTTTGATCAGACTTACCGTTTCATCCGTCCACTGTGTTGTTTTCGCCTTCAGCTTTGTACAGTATCGCACCTGAAGAGTTCCGGAAGATCTCCCAGGGAAGAAGTCGGCAATTTGCTTCCAGGTCAGGTTCTTGTTTTCCTTCAGGTCAATCAACAGCTGGTCGTCCTCTGGAGTAAACTTGAGCTTGGGACCTCTTGGTCTTGGGGCTGGAGGCGGCATTCCTGCTTGTCCAACGACACTGGGAGCTCCACCGCCACTGCTGCCTTCACCTTCCCGCCTCAATAGCTTGTTCGGGGGGCCGGTATCTGGTAGGCGGTGATGATGATGCTGAGGCGGAGCCGCTGCTGCTTGTGCGTAGGCTGCTCCCAGCGATGACTGTTGCATGGAGTCCAGGTCATTCTGCTCAAGGTCCGAGATTCCGGGAATTGTGAGGTCGAGATCTTCGGGCCTTTGTCGTTTCAACCCACCGCCATGCCCATGGTTGTGCGTCAAAGACGGGTAAAGCGGCGCGACGACAGAGTGTGGCGAAGGACCTGGTCCACCAAAGTGAGACGGTCCGGAATGACCCATGTGTCGTGCGCCGGGATGTCCGCCCATGTGGCCCGGATCTGTGAGGATCGAATGAGGATGATGGGCCTGGGCATAATGTTGCGACAGACCATGATGGGTTTGGTGGGTGGGCGGTTCGTGCAAGCTCGGAGGGCCAGCATGTTGGAGAGAGGCTCGATGGTGATGCGCTTCATAGGAGTGCGGAGCCTGGCTCTGCTCGGCCGTATGCGGCTCCTGTGACGAATAATCGACATGGTAGTCCGGACCTACTCGGTAATTACCCGCCAGCGTGACTGCTATGCATGAGGTCCGCCAGAGCGAACCGCTCTGGCTGGTCGCCGGGTTCTGAATTGAGAGAATTTGGTGAGATTGAGCCCCGTAGGGCTACTTTGGGAACGAGCGTGACGTATAGTCAGATCTGAGGAGGGCCTCAGATGCTGCAAGTTAATCGTTTGAGGTGCGGTTGAGCTCAGTTGATAAGAGACAGATGTTGGTATGGACCCAGAGCACATGTATCCAAGCGAAGTTTTCGCAAACTAGTCGGTGGCGGTAGAAAGGCGACGATGGTGATGTGGGGTATATCTTCTTCTTTATGGCTTGAGTCGGTAGGTTGGTTCCCGGATAGGCTGGCTGGACGATGACGGCACTCTTAACAGTTCCTCCCTCGTAAGCTCATTGCTTGCTGAAAATTGTATGACCGGTTCCTGTGGATACTGGTACTTGGTGTGTAGGTTGTCGACCCTCCCAGTTCAGCCTGACTTCCAAAACGAACGGCCCTTTCTTCGTTGGCGGACTTGATGACAAAGGCAAAGTAGATTAAGTAGAGGAAGGAAATTAACAGCGGGTAACGACTGTGATATATCTTTTGGTGTTTGGTACTGAGCAGAAAAGCAAGGGCTAGCTGTCTTGGAGGGACGGGGACAGAGTGGATATATGGACTTGACCGGCCTCTTAATCCAAGGCATAAGCATACAAGCAACGATAAGTACGAGACGTGATTGTAGCTTGGAATGTGGAGCTCAAGTCGGGTTTGACGACCGATGACGGTGGCATAATTTGAGGATCTTATGCCATGGACTGTCTGCCGGATATAGAACAGGACCCTGGCCTCAAGTAGTGATGCACCGAGCGGGCATGACAGCTCGTAGCTCAGATTGCTGGACAGGGTTGCCGGCAGAACTAATTATCGAGGTCCAAGAAACCCCGGGCGGTCTAACTCGATTCAGATGTTGCAGTGAACTTGACGATCCAAAGAAAACGAAGCTTCGAAAACGCATAGAAAAAGATAAAACGTCAAGCTTGACAATGTGCGGATGAAACAAGCCCTGCCATGCGGCTGGGAAGCAGAATGGCAAGAAGCGAATTAGGGGGTGCTGGTAGCAGTGCTCTTCTCTACAGACAACCAAGGGAAGCAGCGGCACCCGACTCACAAGGAAAGCCGGTAACGAGAGGCTTACACTTGCAAGACAGAGGTAGGCAGACGGACGATGGCGAGCGGGAGGGGAGCTTGCCGGGAGGGGTGGCAATCTGGCCGAGTCCTCCACCTCTGGACTCAGGGTACGCAGCCAGGAAGGTGGGTGTAAGTGCCCGCAGAGAACAGTGTGCGGTCAAGGTACCTGGTCTTTTCAGGAGAGTCAGAAGAAGTCACTTGGAAGTACCAAAGCAGGAACATGATAGCGACAGCATGCCTTGGCCACTGCTGGGGGGTGACCATTTCTGGGTGTGGTGGAGTGCCGTGGGTGGCAAGCGGAGGGGGCATTGAGGAGTGGGAAATTCCATGGTCTCTGAAAAGGGAAAGATATTAAGACGGGGGGGGGGGGGAGCGTATATCAGATGCACGAAACAGATCGGTGCCCTGACATACGATAGGCCGCCAGGGTAAAGGCGCCTCGAAGAAGGGGTAACATCTACACATGACTAAGGTAGGTACCAGTGCTGGATTGCCGAGCAAGGGCAAACGAAAGGCTGCGAAGTGAGGAAAATATGCAGTGACCCTGCCGGCGTGAAGTCTGAACCACATCATTTGAGATGTCTGATGTGACCCAAATCCCAAAGAGACCAGAGAGCTGCCGCAGGCGGTATAGGAGGGCTCTCAAACTGAACAAGATGATTTTGACAGGGTATGAAGTAGTCCAAGATAGGTACGGTCCCTTCTTGTTCCGCCCGTCAATATGTGGCGTTTGTGAAATGGGAAAGGTTTGATGAAGCTGCCGCCAACAATGTAGCCGCATTATGAGGAGAAAAGGCACACCTTCAGTCCTTCACCCCAGAAGGAGGCACTAGACTGCTAGAGACGGACATTGAAGCGAGAGTAGTTCCAGCCCGGCAGCAGAAAGACCTTCAGCTCAGAACGAAGAGGATGCTCTGGCAGACCGGGGCTAGGTCCTGTCAGCTTGATGACCTTGCTGAGCTCGGTCACCGCGTGCGATCATGACAATCATGGATGGATTCCAGACGCGCCAGACGCGCAACTTGACGCCATGTCTCGGGCTAGGCCCTGCGTGGGGATCCCGTTTGGATACGGTAATATCTCGAAGCTACCACTTGGATTATGCCATGATGATGATCGCTTTTCACATGGCCAGGTGACGTGCTTGAAGGGGTTAAACGCTCGGCAACTCCAAGATTGCGCTTGTTGTGTGTCAATGCTGCTTCCGATGACGAACGAGCCGAGGCTGGAAGCTGTCGCAAACTAGCCAATTGTCAGCCTCCTGTTGAGCATAGTAAGGTCAAACTGAGAAGAGCTGCAATGAGCAGGGCAAGTCAGTAGTATGCAGGCCGGAAAAGAGCGATACTTGGCAAGATAGTCGCGATGGTTGTGTAGGAGTGTGTGGGCGAGATGCCATGGGGAGATGCCATGGAGGTGAGGTCCGTGTAGACGGTGTAGAGTGTAGACCGAAAGAGCGTGGCCAAGATGCGCGCATGAAAGAAACGTGTTTCATTCAAACCTTGCAATTAAAGGCTGCATTATGCTACGCGCAAAGGCAAGATGAGCGTGATTTCGGAAGTTTTCTAGAAGGAGACAAAGCGGCTTCTAGCGCTGACCGGGGTAAGCTCTAGTGGCAGAGGAATATCGCCGTGAACGCTGATGATCCCGCAACTGGCTGATGTCGCTGATATTGAAATTCCTGCTTTCTTTCAAAGAACTTGTTAATTTGTTGGCTGTGGTTGTAACAAGTTCATGATATGATTGTAGCGGGCAGTTGATGGTGGTGGCAGTGATGATGGGATCAAGCAAGGTGAGGGATTGAGTGAGGTGACGGCGGTGAGAAGGGTAGGGGATCTCGATACAACCTTGACTTAAACTATTCCCAACTTGGCAACGGAGTTTGCTCCTGGGGCTCTGTCGCTAACAAAGCTCGAGGCTAAGAGGTTTCGAACGGGTGGGTAGAGGCTATTTTCTGTTAGTGTCAAACAAACCTTGAGCTGGGAACAAAACAACCTGGAGGACGACTCAACAAGGTTTGGGTTTCCTCTGCTTCGCTTCAGCCCAGCTGAGTTGTGGTTTTTGGTGTGGCCGGGAACTGGAGAGAGGGAACTGAATGGAGTGAAGAATTTTTCCATCCGTCGTTTGTCGATTCTGGCAAGTGGATGTGGCATTCTCCAGTGTCGGTGTGAAGCTGAGAGGGAAGGTGCCGAGGGAGCTCCCAAGATTTTCGCTTGTCGTCGTTGCCATCTGGTTCCAGGTTTGGTTCTCTCCTTCCCAACAAACTCCCAAAACTCCCCCACGACGTGGATGAAAGTCGCGGTCGCAACCGAACAGCTCCTTCCCCTTGAAACTGCGTCATTGTCGCAACAAGGTGAATATTCAGTCATGATGCCCCTCCCAATGCAACTGCGACTCTCCCAAGTGCCCCTCTGAACTACCTCTATGCACAATGTCACCGTCGTCTTTCACCTTGAACTTCACCATCCGACTTCCAGACCGTCGCCGTCACCATGACCTCCTTCTGTTGCTATTTTCATCACATCGAATCCACAACACCACCACCACTACCACCACCACCACCGTGTTCCAGTCGATCGACGTCAACGCATTGACTCAGCTGTTGATCCGGGACCGAAAACCATGCCACACGCCTTCTTTGGCGCTTCCATCATGCTTCCAAACATCCCAAGCGAGTGGCACCAAAAAAAGACTTTGACAACCTAGTTGAGGCTGCGAAGCTGAGACTCGATGGAAGGGTGGCTTGGAGGTGGGTTGCAGACATCAGGTCAATCTGCATTGACATCTCGTACCTGCATTTGGTCTTGCTAATGCGTGGCCCAAGAGGCTGCAGTTGTAGAGGTACCTTAGTACAGAGACTGAGTGACCGATATTGTGCAACGGCCATATTCGGGTCTCCAATTCCTTTCAGTACGCAACTGTCTTTGCACCTTCTTTTCGCTCAGTCGAGCCAAGAACCGTGGCTTACCTATTTGGGCCAAGATTAGACGCCATCCTCAATTCCACATCGTGGGGAAGCGAGCAACGGCCAAAGGTGCCAACGGAGAAATATCCGAGGGGATCCCGCGCGAAAGTCGCCCGTCTCTTCTCCGGCATCCGGACCGATCGCAAAGACTAATCTTGAGGACTGATGACAAGCCAGAGCAAGAGCTCCGCTACCTCCGCTGTCATGGGGACCGGAATTTGCCGTGACAATTTCGGATCACGGACGACGTTTCTAGACACAGTCAGGCCTGGTCTTGGCGGACATTGCTAGTCTGTCGTTCTTTCAATGCGAAAATCGGTGCATGGCAATCGGAATCTGCGTCGGCCCATTTTGATCGGCCCCGGTGATTTTGGGAATGGGGACTTTCCGAGTTGGGTCAAGTGTGTCCAAATGGAAGCCAGCATCTCATCTGTGATCCATTCCATCCCATCTCACTGCATCCCAAGGCAGAGAGGTATCTCAGGGGTCTTCAGAGACTTGACCAGCTCCCCTTGCTCATCCGCTTCCCAATATGAGTGACCTTCCTTCCCGGCGATACCCTCCCATGCCATCTGCCTCCCACACCCCACATCTGGAAAGCAGACAGACAGGGTATGCTCTTTCTCTTTCCTATTCATAGCTAATTTACCTTGTTACCAGGTCATGTCCCTTGCTCGTCCCGACAGCTCCTCCTACCCCTCCATCTGAATACATACACCCTCGTGCCAGCCTTGGAGATATGTCCACGCTTAGCCTTGCTTGACCTGCAATAGACCGAAGCCACATCGCCTATCGCATGGACGCATGAAGCGTAATCTCTCGCCAACGCCGTCATCAGCTTG